CCTTGAACTTGCACATGTTTTAACACAGAGCTACATACCCAGCCTCATTTTAAAATTTCTTTTTCAGCTAGTTATTGTAGAAAAAGGTGCCCATGTGTTCTATGTTGATTTTGAAACTTGCAGGATCACTGGATTTGTTTATAAGTTTCAATGGTCTTTTGATGAAGTCTGTTTTTCTTCACATGATGGATTGCTGGATTGCATAGGTTACTATCTTTCTGCTGCTGCTATTGTTGTTTCTCTGTGTGTTATTCCCTCCCCACCCGCCTGGAAACTTGGAGAATTTTCTCCTCAAATCTGGTTTTCAGCAACTTGATTCTGTGCTTTAGTGTCTTTTGTTTGGTTGGTTTTCTGTAGATTTATGCTTCTATCAATTTAGAAAAAAAATCAACCATTATTTTTGGTCAAAAACTTTGTGTCCTCTTATTTTCTCCTTTCCAAACTCCAGTTGCACCATTATTCACCTTTCTATTTTCAGTTTAAAAGTTTTTCTGCTCACTTTTTCTACACTTTATTTTGGATATTTTCTATTATTGTTTTAAAATTCACAGCCTTTTCTGCTGTATATAATTTGCTTTTAATCTTATTCCATGTATTTTTCATTCTGCATATTGCACTTTTCATCTGTAGAATTTCTATTGRGATCTTCTTTATGTCTGCCATTTCTATTACTATGTTCTTAACTTCCTTTTATCTGAGTAGACTTACCATTCTTTTAAATAATCTTTTTTTCTATTAATCCCATGAGCTCTTTATTTTGATGATTTTTTTTAAATCCTGGTTAAGGGGTTATCATTTTTGTTACTTTGCATGTCTGGTAATTTTGATGGGAATGCTGGACATTTTTATTGTTTTACATTGTTGAATGCTGGATTTTTGTTATACTTCATGAATAGTGAACTTGGTTCTGGCATAYGATGTTACTTGAAGTTCAGTTTGAACATTTTGAGATTCTCTTTTAAGATATTAAGGTAAATCCAAAGTAGCTTTTATTCTAAAGTTAATTTGGCTCTTCTCCTAAAGCACAACCCTTCTGAGGATGCCACCTAATGTCATATGTAGTACAAACTCCCTCTATTTTGGTTGGTGAGAACATGTTTAGCTGTGTGAGGTCCAGGGAACTGTTTTGTTTAATGCTTTCTAGACATTCCATAGCCTTCTTAATTAGTACTCAAGTCATTTCCTTTATTCCATGCAAACACATACCAAGAGAGAAGAAAGAAGACCATGACAATGACTTCTGGAGTTCATTTTCTTTTGGCAGCATTCCAGACAACCTGAACTTAGTCAACTTATCTTCTTGATGTGGCAAGACCAGTATGTTTATTTTGGTTCCTCTGCCTGGCAGCTGCTTCCAGGAATAATATGGGGCAATCATAAGTCTTACTTCCTTTACCCACTTGCCTCAACCTCCAGGGATCATTAGCTCTGGCATTACCTATAGTTCAATGTTTGAAATAGTTTCTTCATATATTTGTCTGGTTTTCTAGTTGACTATGGCAGAAATAGTAATTCAGAGGTCAATGTGAAGATAAACTGATAAAAAATTTGTTTTCATAATGAGCAGAAGTCAACATTGCTTTTACTAGTATTATACTGTTTCTTCGGTATAGGTTCTGAGAGATTTTTTGGAAAGATAACAGCTAAAATGTACCTGTTATTTTTTTTTTTACTTCTGAAAGCAAGAGTTAACTCTGAGTTAATAAAAGATTCTTAAGTTACTATACTTTAATGTACTTAGAGAACTATTAAGTTTGAGTAATTGGACTTCATTTCTTTCAATTTAGTTTAACATTAAAACCAGGTATCCTTTCTTTCTCAGAAATGCTACACATCAATATAAATACCCCACATATATTTATAGCATCAAAATCAAAGGGTAGTATATCTGATCATAGTAGGGGTTACCAGGATATAAAACTCTGGAAAAACTATCATTCCACCAAACACAAGGTAAAAAATATTGCAGAGTAGAAAATATATTAAGAAATACAAGGACAGAAAATTTTGAAGGAGTTTTAGTGAAGATCTTAAGCTCAATAACAAGACAAGAGGAACATGAAATTGAGAATGGGCTTACTGAGTTTTAGATCTATATATTACTATGCTTTGGATCTTAAATGTTYCCGAAAGGTCCATGTTGAAAGCTTGTTCCCTGAAGTGGTGCCATTAGGAGGTTGAAGACCCTCTAAGAGGTGAGACCTGGTAAGGTCTTCAGGTCATTGAGGCCATGTGGGACCTTGGCCTCTTCCTCTCTGTTTCTGGCCAAAGAGGTTCTCTACACCACATACTTCCATTGAAATGGGTTTAATTGATTAGGGACTGAATTATTTAAAACTGTGAGCCAAAATAAATCTTTTCTCTTTATAAGTTGCTGATCTTAGGCATTAAAGTAACAAAAAGCTGATTAATACAAATATTTTGCCTTTTTTGGACTATTAAAACAACTTGTTCACATTTTATAGATGAGGAAACTCAGTTTTAAGTTATCAAAGACAGAAAGGTAGTCAGTGTACTTTCCATGTACTTTCCACCACTAATGACTGCAAAACTAACTGGATAATGTGGGGAAAGGGTCACAAGATACCAATTAGCAGGACACTAAGGTGGTGGCAATAATTTTAGGATCAGAAATATAAAGTAATCAGACATTGTCTGATCTTGTGAAACCTATATATTCCCACAGTTTTTTGATTATTTCATATCTACCCTTTTTTAAACATGCAATATTCTACCCACTTTCACTTTTCTCTTAGAAGTATGACTTTTTATTTCCTGAGAAAGCAAGTGTATCAGAGGATTTACACATGCAACTAATATAAAATCTACCAATTAATTCATCTGTATTTGAATTTAGACTCTATATAGAATGGAATATGTCCATGTGCATGCTGTAGCCTAGACTAAGCTCTCTACTGCATTGGATTCCATATACTTCCACAGACCAAGGAGTTGCTTTTGAAGATAACTATTATCCTTTCTCACCATTTCCTGCTCTACTAGATCAAAATTTCAACCAATATGCATAGTCAAAAACTTTGTCTCATCACTAAAACATAGTTCAATAAGACTCACAACTTGCTCACAATTTGGTTTTGGTTCATGTGTGTCCAGAGCAATTGTGGAAACTACATATTTTATAAAGATCTTTTCTAGTGTTACAATTTTAGGTCATTCTAGTAAAAATAGCAAATACTTAGTGTTTATTCTATGCTTGATACTTACTAAACACTTTGCATTGCCTTATTTAACACTCACAATAATCCTAAGAGAGGTACTATTATAATCTTCATTTTACAGATAAAGAAACTGGGGCTTAGAGAAGTTAATAACTCGTCTGAGGTTATTAGCTAGTAAATAGCACTGCAGATATCAAATCTGACTTCAGATTTCATGTTATTAAAGTGTCATACCAATTATTTTGTGATCTCAATTGCATACATACTAGTGGAAATGAAAGTTTACTGCTTTTTATATTTATATATTTAATGTCAACAAATAGAAAAGCAAAAGTTGTTACAAAATCCACAATAATTTTTATCTTAATTTGCAACATAATTCACACAATCAGGAATATTTTAGCATACAAGTACCTTGGAAAGAATTCTAATTTTAATTTGGTTCAATAATTTAGTAGCCACGGTTTCTGGGCTAACGTTATATTCATCATTTTCTGACCAAATTTTTAATAARACAAAATAATAGCATTAAGTGGATTACAGTCATTCTATATAACAATAATATAAAATTACATTGAAAAATCAGAAGCCATTAAATATTAAGAGTATATTACATAATATTATGTCTTATGGTGCACTTAAGAAATAGATACTTAGTGATCTTTAAATTTAAAAAAAGGAAGAACAACTTCATATTTATATAAAGTAATCAAGCAGAAATCTGGAGAACCTTGTGTTAAAAAGAAGGGCATTTATATTTGGCATTTTCTTCCATTGAAAAAATATAGCTTGTGCTGTCATCATGACATTTACTTAAATGTTTATAAAAAGCATTTAGGTCACTAATTCTCAAAGTTAGCTGAACACTGAATCAGATAGAAATGTCTATATAACCCCAAAGCAATTTAAAATTAACTGATATAAAGTAGACTCTATACATACTGATTGTTTTATAATGCCTCAAGTGATTCCAATTTGCACCAGTTTAAAAACCACTAGCTTAGAGAATTGTTTCATAATCACAAAGATCAATCTTTGGATGGAATTCCTCATGGCTTGATTTTAGTGAGTGTATTGTTTTTAAGTATCTGATAGATGTTTCTCCCTCGATTAAAAAAAATAAATACGTAAAGGGTATAGATTTTGATTTATTCATCATTGCCTCCACATTCAGGGAACAATGAAAGGTATATAGTAGTTGCTGAATACTATTCTGAATGAACACGATAGCCCTATACTTTTATATATCTCCATCTTCTGGTAGATTATAAATGTAAAAGTTCAAAAGATATTTATGGAAAAAAATGAATGAATAAAGCAATGAGGATAATGGTTAAAGTGAAACAAAATCTTACATAAACATTTATATTTAAACAACACACACACACACATATATATATATATATATATATAAATAGATCAAAGTAGAAAAAGAATATACAAAAGTGCAACATTTAGCAGTTGAGAATTCATTGAACTTTCAAATATTCTTCACATTCTTATACTTAGAAACAAAGAAGTAATCCTAAATAACTACTTCTTCAGCTAATATCCATAAACAAATGCGTAGATAAGTTTTCTTTTTCTAAAGTTTTCTTTTAGAAACAGTTACAGCTTAATCTTGATGAACACAAACACAACTCAGTTTTCAAAATTCAASTAAATAAAATTTTAGTATAACCATGGCAGATTTTCCAGATAGTAGCATTACAAAACAAGATTGTTTCTGGTTAAAATATTTGGTATTGCCTATTGTTATGCTTTCTCAGTTGAGATTCAGTAGCTCTTTCACAGTCTCAAATTGAAAACTATTTGGCACATCCTCACATCATGTGTTTACATAAGAGAAACTTGACTAATWAGAGAATCCCATTTTAATAGCTAGATTCACAGATATGGCTTCATTTATCAAAGTTTGACAAGTATTAGATAATTCTTAATTTAGTTAGTATCTTAGACTACGAAACTTTGGTTTTCTTAACATCAACATTGGTTGCTTGATTGTAGGTTTCTCACCAAAAAGTGCTGCTTCACTCTCTGTGGTTGGAAATCTTTTCTGATATATCAAAGGATATTCCTTCTGAAACTTAAAAATAAGGTGAGGAATTAGAAGGTATTTAACACTTATTTCCCTAGTTGATGCCAGAGCTCAACATTTGTGATAAGAATTTAGCGAATTTCTCAAAGATGGATTACAGAGACAATAGCCTTTCATTTTATCCTTGCTCCTCCTTCCCTTTCTTTTCATATATGTGAAAGGTACWCTAGAAGATCTTTTAGATCCCTGTTGGCAATGATATTCTAGGATTCTTTTTTATTGCTAATTCTCCCCTTAATTTCCAGATCTTTTCAATTGGAAAGCCATGAAGGTCTCAGGTATCTGGTACAAGTTCACATTTCTTTGAGTGTTTCCAACTTAGAATTAGTCTTACTAGAATTATGGAGCAACTGGGGTTTGGATTAAAGCTAGAGTTTCTAAATGATAGTGATGACTCACCCAAACTATGTCCAGATTTATAATTGCTTTTCTAGGCTAATTTTAGCTGTAATTACACAAAACACCAGAAATAAGGAGAGTACCATTATTATTGCTAATATTTTAAAATTTATGATTCAGGATATATTTTAGAAGTAGTTTAATGCTTACATATAATGTACCATAATATGTAGCTTATACACTTAAAATTTAAGTTCCAAATGATTGAAATAAGAAATTAGATTCTAAATGTTATAAAACGACAACAACTTACAGCATATTACAAATATGACTGAGCACTTGCTCATTCTCTTACCTGTTTTAGTTTTCTTCTTTTCTCTTTTAGAGGCAAACTCTTATTTTTAATAATATTCTCTAAAAGTTCTGCAATTGCTGCTTGAGAGGTAGAAACCTTTTGTTCATCAAACTCCTGAGCACTAATTTGTTTACAATAAGAATAAGTTGGCAAAGGAGCAAATAGTCCATCTCCAGGATTTTTAACCTGTAGTGAACAACATGAGATAGTAAAAAAATCTATTAATTTTGGTCATGTCCTTATTTGGTAAAGCATTCTTTTGATGAAATCTAGTACTGATTTATTTTGCTACTTATCATTCAATGCATTAAGAAAATTGTATTATGCAGTAGTAATGAGTCAGTAGTATCAAAATTCTAGTTCTACAGTCTACTGGGTTTTATAATTCAGCATAAAAGATCAATATTATGACTTAGTAATAAAGTATATCCACCTACTGTTTTTTGAGGCTTAGGGGCATGATATTAATGGGCATCCATTGATAACAGAAAGCAATTGTAGAAAATGGTTGTAATTATAAGCCAGGACAATATTAGAATGAGAGAAAGCACAAATGCATGTGCTGGTCAGCCTAAGCTGAATACAGCAGTTACCTATTGTTTTTGGCTGCTCAGTATGCCTTTTCTCTTTCTTTTAATAATTCCTTCCCATGTTGTTCCCTCTACCTTTTTTGAAAAACAAATTCTGATCTAATCTATGTAGAACCAATTAGAATATGACCCTCCTTCTATCTTACTTATACTCAATCACCCAAAGAATGCATATTTAATCTGGATCGGGCCAATTGAGAGAGTCCAAACCCAGAACTTTTCAAATTGGGGGTGGAGGGTTGGCTCTTTTTCTTTGTATTCCAAACATAGGGTRTGATGCATGAACTTTAATCAGCCATATTCCCCATCATGTGATAGAGGCATTTGTCAAAAATAGGACTGAAATGTAAGAGATGGTAGAATGGGCACAGATTCCTAGTTCTATGTCTACACTACTGACTTTTAGAAGTTATTTAGATGCATTAATAAAATCTCCCTTTCTGATGGGGCTAGTTTGAGATAAGTTTGACATGTGCAAATGACGAATGCACAGACTTTTAAGATTCAAAAATACCTACGTGGCCCTTTTTTAAGTAGTCAAGATGTTTCTCTACTGCAGTCTGTAAGTAAGAAGGTACTTGAAGAATTTCCTGATGATGATCCATTAAGAAAGAAACTAATCTTGCAGCAAGAAGCTCATCAAGATCCACTTCTTCGGCACAGCACAGCACACACCGAGAAAAAGTGTGTATCATCTAGAAACAGCAAAAAATTTGAATTTAAGAATTTAAGGTTTCATATAAATTAGAATATCAGTAATTTCCAGGCAGCACTATGTGAAATATTGAGATAAAGTGACAAGCAGACTTCACATTAAAAATGATAGTAATTTATTACGATTAGAAAGGTAAAAATTCTAATATATTTAAGTCCTTTTTAAAGTCCTTGTTAAGTATTTCCTTAATATAATTCTAAAGGGCTATAATAAGGTTTAGGTTTATCTTCAGTTTTGTCACAACTATATCTGTAAATATCGCAGGTTCTATTAATACCACATGGATATGTTATTTAAAAAGTTATTAGAAAACAGGAACTTACCACATTAAATTAATTTCACAAAAATATAAACCAGGAGAATATATCATGCACACAGAATATATATTCAGCAGAGGTTGCAAACTTGGCACTATATCTTTTAAAACTCTGGAAAATAGTTGTTAAAGCTTATTCTATCAGTCTTTAAACAGCAAATTAATACACACATTTTTCAGTTCTGTTGTAGAAATCTTTATATCTTGAGATAAATTTTGTTTCAAAACTTATCACTCTCACTCGTATCCATATAAATCCACTAACACACACGCCCACACTCATTCTATAATAATCAGAATGGTTTTTCTTTCTAGTTCCAAGGCTCAGTCCTCAGCTTTTTGCTCTTTTCTATATTCTTAAACCTCTTTTTATTATCTTCAATTACCATCTCTATGTGGATGACTCAATAAAAACTTMCTCTGTCGTGACCTTTTGTTCACCTTGCTCACATTCCCAATATTTTGCTGGATAAATTTTACTTGAATGTCTTATAATTTTAAAACCAAAAATATAAAACCAAAATTATCTCCTTCTCACTTAATGTTTCTCAAACATCTTCTCTTAAAAACTTATCCTTCTTAATAGTGCCATAATTACTCAAGAATAGTTCTCCTTCTTTATATTATGTCTGTCACTATAAAAGAACTGGCATTATAATGAGTGGAAARACAGAGCATAGCTATAGATTCCTTACTGTGACAAGCTGCAGCCTAAGAAAGTAGCAGTTCTTAGAGGCAACAGATCATTTCAAAGATTCATTTTCAACAATAATATGTATATAAATGCCTCAATCCTCATTGTCTAAGAAGCCTGAGACTGCTTGGTAATAATGTTTCCCAACTTTTTCTACCATGATGACTTGCTATCATAATTCATCAAATATACCTTTCCTCCCRCCATACTCTGAAACACTTACTATAAATGGATTTATCTTTAGTTTTCCACTTTCACAGAGCTCTAGTACCCTTAAGGGTTAAACACTATCTATGATATAGCATCCTCTTCTTTTCCCACCAAAAAGAATTGGCACAAACTAGCATAATGTGACTGTAGATCTATCATTAGGAAGCTATATAGGATGCATGAGAAGGCAAAGTCCTCTGTCAAGATTAATACCAGGATAAAAAAGTATAACAGACTAGGCAAAAAGATTAGTACACAAATATTTGCTGCTAGGAAAAGTTAAATTTCTAAGTCTTTCTAACTCAGGAATGTAGGACTTCCAAGATCAGGATTCACTTGAGTAGTACTTTAAGATAGATTGTTTTCTATTTTCATTTGTTTTTTCACAAAACAAATTACGAACCAGAATTTATTATTTCCATAAGAAATAAACTTACCAGTGATCTTGTACCCATTACATCATGGAGTTTGGGCATATCAACATTTTGACTCATTCGAGAAATCATGCGCATTAAAAGTTGAAGCCGTCTACGATTTGGTGGGGGAAGTAACAAACAACATAACTGCAGTGCATTGATGGCAACTCTCTCTAAATGAGGTTGCAGCAAACCTAGAAGGTAAAGTCACCCCCACCCCAAAAAAGTTCATCAATGATACTAGTTGCTTTCATACTACCAGTATATATAGTTATAAAAAGAGGTTAAGATAATATCTTAGAATTTAATTTCTTTTGACTATGTAGAAATTTCCATATTCCTCAAAAACATAACAAGATWCTCATTATTTTCCTCATAACATATTTCTAATTATTAAAATTATTCACTTATTAAAAAGAAAGTGACAATAAGCAAAATTGAAGAAAAAGAAAGTAAGTGCTTTAAGAAGGTTGAGTAAATCTTGGTTATGTCATGACAAAGTCCTTTACAGTAATATCTTTTGGAGGAAAAAGAATAAGCAATTTCAGAGAAGAAGAGCAATATAAGCAAAATACAGAGTTAGTAAACACAAAAAATTAATTTTGCATGCACTGGAAGCAACAACCTTACTTTGCGTGCCAGTCAACACAGAAGAAGCTGGAAGTAAAGGATTTTCTGAAAGTTCTATTGTACTTTTGCAAAGTCTTTTATTGATTGTGGTACTAGACTCTCCGAGTTCACTGTCCATAGCTGCTTGCACACTTGTGCTCCCTTTTCCAAGATTTGGTTTCATGATAATTTCAGCCACTGGTGTATTGATATAACTACTCCGTCTTGTACTACTTCTTAAAAGTAAACTCTGAGATCTACAAAGTTGTTTTGACTTGCATTTTCCGTTACATAATTCTTCTTGGTCTTGAATAGTCAATGTAGAAGTTCTCTTAAACCCAACACAGAGTGGTTTTTGAACACTTTCCTCTGAATGAAGATTCAATAAAAATTCCTGGTTCAGCTCTGACTCTAAAAATTGTTTATTATTTTGTCCTTCTATGTTCTTAACAGATTGATGGAAGGTACTAGACACCTTTTTATTTGAATTCTCAGGAATATCTATAATTCCCTCCAAAGAAGAGCACCTTGGTTTGATGTTAGAGGCCAGAACATGCATACTACTTAAGCCTATTAAATTATGACAACTTCCTCCCATTATGTCATTGGCACTGGCTCTTCTGTTTCTTAAATTAACTAGCTGCAATTTCTTAGCACATCTTTCTTGAAATCCTTGATCACTTATCTGTAGTTTCTCAGTAGAGTCTGATTCTTCTTTGTTTTTGTCTTTGTGAAGCAGACTAAGAAGAAGACATTCAGTTGATTTGAAGGAATTCAGATTGTTTAAGTGAAGGGTTTTTTTTGAAGTCTCTGGATCATCTTGGATTTTATGTATCCCACTGGGTCTATCTGAAACTGTGACGTAGCCACAAACAACTACCAGGAAATGAAACAAAAATTAAGATGCAACTGTATGACAGTGAACAAAAATAATAGTACAGTTAAAAAAACAAAGCATCACTATGGTACATGTTGTTAGTATAGTACAAATAGCTGCTTAATGTGGAAGGCACTTAAATAGGACACATGCAACATTCAGTTATAAACATGCAAGATTGACTAGAGGTTTCCYTTTTTTTGTGATATAAGTAACATCCTAATTAAACAGATCAAGTCAAAATTCATTTAAAAATATCTGCCCTCATTCTAGAAGTACCAGAAACCTCTTAATTACAAGACAACCATGGTATAATAGAAATTTACAGTCATCTGTTGGTATCCTTGGGGAAACTCATTCTAGGATTGCCCATGGACACCAAAATGTACTTACATAAGTCTCTTACATAAAATAGTATAATACTTGTATATAACTTGGCATATACTCCCATATATTTTAAATAACCTCTATATTTCATATAAGATTCAACACAATGTTAATACTATGAAAAGAATTGTTATGCTATATTATTTAAGAATAATGACAAGGAAAATAAGTCTGTACATATTCAATACAGCTGCAATCTTTTTTAATTATAAATTTTCTCAATATGTCCAATCCTGGGTTGGTTGACTCCACGGATATGGAAACCAGAGATACAGAGGGGATACTGTACCTATATTTTTATTCTTGATGCCTGACATGGAGCTTCTAATATCTTTGAATTACCCGAGTGTTAAAAGTTTTGTTATTCACAAGGAACCTATTTATGCTAATGTAACTTATGATTGGCCATGCTTCAAGGTCAGAATGTTGAGCCCCATCTACAAGGGAAGGACCAAAAGTCCATGATTTAATCAATCATGCCTGAGTAAATAAAACTTCAATTAAAACTCTGGAACAATGACACTAATGAAACTTATGGGTTGGTGAATACATGGATGTACTGTGAGATAGTCTTCCCAGAGAGGGCACAGAGGCTCTGTGATTCTGTTCAACTCCATWCCTTGCCATTTGCATCCCTTTCCTTTAGCTGTTCCAGAGTTCTTATCTTTTATAACAAACTGATAATCATAAGTAAAATACTTTCCTGAGTTCTGTGAGTTGTAGAGAATTACTGAACCTGAGAGGGGTTTGAGTGATCTCCTGAACTGATAGCTGGCTGGAGAGAAACAGATAGCCTAGGTACCTCATTTGCTGCTGGCATCTGAAATGAGGACACTCTTATGTAACTGAACCCTTAACCTGTGGGGTTTAGGCTAACTCTGGGTAGCTAAAGTTTTAGAAATACATTGAATTGCATGACACTAAATTGATGTCAGGACACCTGGTGTTGGAACAACATATCTGAATAATTAGAAAACAACAAAACAGCAACCATAGTATTATAGCCTACTACTTTCGTATTTACTCATGCTTCTATAGACTTTTCTTTTTTTCTTTTGATACAGGGTCTTGCTATATTAGCCAGACTGTCCTCAAGCTCGTGGGTTTGAACATTCCTCCTACTGAATAGCTAGGAAAAGAGGTGTGCCACTACACCTTGTTACCTGTATTTTTAGACCTTTTAAATTTTAAGAAACTTGAAAACTTTAGTAAAATCCATACATACCCAAAATGTTCACAAATAATTCATAATATTCAAATGTAAGTAGAGGTTCAGGGAGATCTAGAAAATAATCTGCGATTGTTCTGAATACATCTCGCTCAAATCCAACATAAGTTGGGTTATTTGTATCATTACTTCTTGGCCCTAAAATGTAGAAGGAAAAATAAATAATCAAAATATATTTTAATTTAAATACAATTTTATGGGGCTGGGGATGTGGCTCAAGCGGTAGCGCGCTCGCCTGGCATGCGTGCGGCTCGGGTTCGATCCTCAGCACCACATACAAACAAAGATGTTGTGCCCACCGAAAACTAAAAAATAAATATTAAAAAAAGAAAAAATAAATAAACACAATTTTAAAAATACGTACTAAAGTATAATACTTGTATTGCATAAGGGAGTTATTTAATTTTKTTTTAGTTGTAGATGGACAGCACGCCTTTATTTTATTTCTTTATTTTTATGTGGTGCTGAGGATTGAACCCAGTGCCTCACACATGCTAGGCAAGTGCTCTGCCACTGAGCTGCAGCCCCAGCAGTTTTTTAAATACTATTTTAATACCTGAAAAGTTATAAAAAAAGAAAAAAAATTAGTATATTTTTAAACCATGAGGGGAGTTTTTATGACAACTCATTAATGTTTTCCTCAGAAATAAGACTGGATCACATTTTACAATTAAGAAAACTAAGGCTCAGAGTAACTTGCCTCAGATGAAAAAGCCCTTGATGGTGAAGCTAGAATTAGAACATATAGCATATAAAATGAAAACAAGGCCCAGGACTTTTAGGTCTAATAACATTTAAAGTATGGTTCATAGATACATATATCATCCAATACATTTATTAAAAATACAAGTTTCTGTACGCAGATCAGAATCCACAGAGGTGAATCTAGGAATATACTGATCTAAAAATATTTGCTTCTGGTTCATTAGTGGTTTCCAAACACTGACTCAGAAATCTTCATTTTAAGTATATTGTGGGGCATAGTTAAAAAAAAAAAAAAAAAGAAAAAATCCTTGATTTATTGAGTCAACCAAATCAGAATCTCTGTAGAGTCTCCCTAGTGACTATGATATGCATTCAGATTTTAAAGTCACTAGACCATCTGTCAAGTTAAAATCTCTCTTCCTAAGTCCAAATGATCTTTTATATCTGTTTCTAAACTTTTGTATAACCAAACAAGTATAAGCACACACAATAAAAAAGATTAAGAAACACACACACATACACACACACACAAATAGGTTAAAGACTAACATGGATTTTATTTACTGCAAAATAGATATTTTTTTTTTTTTTACGGAAGATACAAGAAATATTCTGAATATGCTTCATTAATGTTTTCTAGGACAGAAAACATATGTTTACTGGAAATAATAAAGAATTTATAGTTATGAGAACTTAGGTTTGAGCTCTAACTCCTTCACATTACCAGAAAACTCAGAGGGTCTTGATTTTTTTCCTCTGGGAAAAAAMTTGAGAATATTGATTATTGATTCTTATATCTCACAGAATTACTCTGGGGTATTAAATAATAAGTAAGTAAAAATTTTTATTTTGTCTCTAAATACACTGCTATTAAATTGAATTTTAGTAAGTTATATATTAGATATCATTTTGGTATAACATGCTTTGGGAAATAAAAGAAAAGAAATCCCTAAAAATGGATGTCAGAGGAGACTTTATCAATGTGCTTATCTGAGTTGTCAACTATGAGCCAAGAATGAGAGAGAAGTGAATTAGGTAAGGAAGCTTGAAATAGAAATTAAGTTTGAAGTTTATGAACAGAAAGGATCTTTACCTTAATTTCATAAAGTGTTTCTGTAACTTATTTACTTCATTGCTATTTATTCTGTTATTTTGTCACATTGACACCCAGTGGACAACAAAGGAATAAATACTTATCCTGAACATTAATAAAACCATATTAGAATTTTTAAAAACACTGAATTTATAAGAAATAGAATCTGTACTACATCTATAACTAAAATTACTAAAATAAAGTTAAATTTTTATGATTTAGAAGCATATATCTTTAAAATTTTTCAAAATTTATTTTGAAACCAATTAGGGCTTAATCAAGATCTTAAATTATGAAAATCAATTGTCACTATCACTATGCAAAAGATTGATCACTGAAATAATAAAATATTATTTCTGAATTAGCGACAAATCTTTTTTTCATAAACATAAAAGTCCTATTATACATCCTTTGGACTAGTAGCATGTAATAAAGCACCTGAATATTGAAGCCACGTACAAGGAAAAAAGGAATGAAGTAGGCTTTACGAAACTTCATTTTTGATTGAATCTTTTCTACCTTACATGCTGTTTTACTTCCAAGTGACCATGTGAACCCTCTGGCTTCTCACTGAGGTAATTACTGTAGTCTGGTTTTACCTAAAAATCCTTTAAAATCCTCTAGCCTATGATTTTATGATTTATGTGAACTAAGCAATAAGTGATGGGCTTATAAAATCACTTTCTGCATGGAAAACATTACTTTAGGCTCCATAAGTAATAGATTCTACTAGATTTTCACATAACCATCAAGAGAAACAACATTATTTTAATTTTATTAGGATTTTTATGAGTTATTTAAAAATTCCTTGATTCTTGTTAAATACCATCGCTATAAAACATATTTATATGAATTAATTTAACTTACAATTTGCTAGGCACTTCATGGCAGATAATACCCAGTGAGGAAGGTCATCTAGACACACAAAAAAAATAAAAATTATTTAGGAAATCCCATAATTTTTGTGATAGTGTATTTTAGAACTTCACACTTAAGTTTGAAAAAGTTATAGAGATCTTGAGTTTGACTCTGTCTACAATACATAAAATAATTGGCTGAGCCCAAATTAAGAACTATTTGGGGATATGTTTAGACATAAGCTCTTTTTTTTTTTTTTAAAGAGAGAGTGAGAGAGGAGAGAGAGAGAGAGAGAGAGAATTTTTAATATTTATTTTTTTTTTAGTTCTYGGCGGACACAACATCTTTGTTGGTATGTGGTGCTGAGGATCGAACCCGGGCCGCACGCATGCCAGGCGAGCGCKCTACCGCTTGAGCCACATCCCCAGCCCTAGACATAAGCTCTTAATCTTCATTTTTAACTACACCACCATTTTCATCCTTAGTTTGGTTCCATCTGTTGCTATGCTGCTTGAATGCTACTGACTTGGTGAGACCTATGATTGAAATGAACTATATCTGAATGTTAGGGTACTGTACAATGAGGCTTGCTTAAAATCTTTTCAACAGTCACCATTTTTATCCTGTTCATCATTTTTTTAAAAATATATTTTTTAGTTGTAGATGGACACAGTACCTTTATTTTATTATTTTTATGTGTGCTGAGGATCAAACCTAGTGCGTCACATGTCCTAGGCAAGCACTGTACCACTGAGCCATAATCCTAGCTCCTTGTTCATCATTAGCCCAATGCCTTGCACACTGTGTATCTCAAGATAAATGTGGGAAATCAACAGATTTTATTGTTTTTTCCTTTTAAATGCTTAACCTGTCATTTTAAAAATGCATGCATGAATTCATCTTAGCAGTTAAATAATTTCTTATAATAGCATGAATAATATTCACTTAAAAATTTTTCCACTGTTACTACTAAAACATGTATATAACTACTATAACATGTATATAAAATAATAGACCCTCAATAAAAATATTCCACTTTCTAAATTTGGGTCTCTTTGTTCTCCACTATAGCTGTGCTCTTTGTTACTAAGTTAGGAAAGATTCCATTTTTCTTTTATTAATACCAACCTGATTTGTCTTGTAGTACAACTACTCCATGCTTACTGGTATTGGTCATGTTATACATTATATATTGAGGAATTACTTGGCTTGGATTTATCAGTTCTTCTAGGGATGGCACACCTAAAATGGTTTGCAGGCTGAAAAGAAAGAATAAAATTTTTTTTCCTCCATAAAATAAGAGAAATAGAATATGAGTATGACTGGAAAGAATAAAGTCATCAGAATATTTTTTTTCTTTAACCAAACTCCCAAAGCTTATATGTAACATCTACTTTTAAATATATTTATCTTAATAACAAAGGATTCCAATGTAGAACATAAACTATAGGCATGACTTTAATTCACAGAAAAAGCAAATTATACTGGAAGTATTTTATTTCTAAGGTAAAGCATTTATTAGGAAACATATACAAAAGTTTKAAGAGTTAATCTGTTCTCATTCATTTATATATTTTTAGAAAATGTCAAATGAATCATCAAAATGTTTCAGAAACTTGATTTTAGCTTAGTTTTATCTTACTAGATCAGAATAATATATCTCCAAACTTCTTCAATATCTTCCTGGCTTATTTCTCTCTTATCAATTGAGTTTTCTTGATCTTCAATGATTATTTCATGATTCCTTTTCTCTGCATTTTCCTGAAAAAAAGAAGTACTATTGTTTAATTTGTCATGCTCAAAGTAAGGAAATATTGAACAGGTACCACTCCTAATACTTAGTAGTTTTAGGCTATTATGGAGCTACAATGTAAGTATAAGGTTATTATGGAGCTACAATGTAAGTGTTGCTTGAAGAAATAATATAGCATATGGTAAAAAGAGTTTTTGTTTTTGTAGTTGCCACTAACATAAAAAAAAAATCAACTATTTCTAAGTATTGCTCACATTACTAGGAGCAAGAGAGATTAGTTGAGGAGTTATGTGGTGACATAGTTTTGATCTTAAATGTGCCCCAAAGGTCCATGCATTGAAGACTTGGTCCCTAACCTATGGCACTACTACTGAGATGTGGTGGAAACTTTAGGAGCTGGGGCCTAATGAAAGGAGGTTAAGTCATTGTGGGGTGCCTCTGAAGAGGATATTGGGACCCTGTCCTTTCCTTGCTCTTTTAATTCTCAGCTGCTATGAGGAGAGCAGTTTCCTCTGCCACACATCTCCCACGATGACGTATTGTCTTTCAACATACTCCAAAGCAAGAGAGCCAACTGACCATGGACTAAACATGGACTAAAACCCCTGAAACTGAGCCTACATAAATCTTTCATCCATTTAAGTTGATTCTCTCAGATATTCTGTCACAGTGATGGAAGGCTAATTAGCATACCAGGGAAGAAAGAAAAATAATCTAACAAAACATTATTAAATTATATAAATATCATTTTCAATGTCTGTCATTTTTATCATTATTTCTGTGTGTGAAATAAATTCACATACATAGTTTTAGAATATAACATTGATAAATTTCTGTATTGGCTTCAATATTAAAGCACAACTACTTTTAATTCTCTTATTATTAAGCACACAGTATTTACATTAAAAATAGTGATTAATAAATGGCATTTTACCTGAGAGAAATGTAATCCAGGCTTCTTAGGAGTTCTACGAGATAAATTTCTTAATTTAAAAACACTATCTTTATCTTTTGTAAAGTTTTCTATGCTGTTTTTCCTCAATTCTGGATGTCTTCGTGGAAGAGTTTTAAGTGGTGAAGTTGCAGGAAATCTGGTTTAAAAATAATATGCAATTAAACAATATGAGAAACTAATTTCTATATCCTAATTTAAAACTCACACAAAGACCCTGATTTGCTTATATCACCAAGGAATGAAGATTCTACATGAATTAATTTTCCTTTTATACTTTTAAAAATATTTTAATAGATTCTTGCTTTCTTTAGTATATGGTGCACATTTTAATTTTATTTACRGACAATTCAGGGTTACTAATATAATCACTTTTGTTGGAGAAGTATTTCTTACACACAAAATAGTTCTACAATGCAAAAATTTTCTAAACTCCTTTGATAAGTTATTTAGTTTGTATATATTTTATGACTTTTGCCTGTTTATCCTAATTTCCCAAATTTAGTTTCTTGTTCCTTTTGGTTATAATGTTGTTTTTCCTCCTTTCATTTTAACATAAAATATTTCCAAGATATAAAAAAGTCCAGAACATAATATAAGTCAACATTCACATGTTAACTAGCAAGTGATATAATCATTGACATTTTGATTAAGATTTCACTATCTTTCTTTTTAAAGTAAAAGAAAAATCTTTGCATACTCCATTTTTTTCTCCTCCCCTGCATAAAGGAAATCATAAATCTATAGTTAGTGTCCATGCTTTTATATTTTCAAGATATGTCTGAACAATGTGTGGTCTATGGTCTGGTATTTTTTTCAACTCATGGTTTCTCTTATTATACATCAAATTTATACATATCTTTTTAGAGACATTAGAAGTTCTTTCTTACTCTACTGTCATACAAATACTTTCTTTTTTTTTTTTTTTTTTTTTGCAGGGGGCAAGGGGTGGAAATACTGGAGATTGAACCCAGAGGTGCTTTACCACTGAGCTACATCCCCAGCCCTTTTCATTTTTTTTTTTTTTTTTTTTTGGTCTCACAAAGTTGTTTAGGGCTTCACCAAGTTGCTGAGGCTGGCTTTGAACTAGTGATCCTCTTGCCTTAGCCTCTTGAGTCACTGGGATTACAGGTATGCACCACCATGCCTGGCTTTACAAAATCCAGCTCTACAAATACTTTTTAATTCTCTAATAACAGCTTAATTTTTCATGTTTAGATGTCTAAGTCATGTATAACTTATACTGAGTTCCCATCTATGTGTGGGTTTCTTTTTGCAGCATTTAAGGGAATTTTAGCCCAGATATCAGGTAAGGCAATTCTCTCCTCTTTATTCTTCAAAACTGCCTTTATCAAATGAATTTTAGAATTTACTTGAGTTATATTGAGATTTGGGATGAAAATSTACTAAATTCATACATAAATGTGGAAGAACTGACATACATATCATACTGTCTATTTTATAAACAGGGTATTGTCTATTTATAAACAGGATATTTTTGTCCATTAATTTCCATTAATAACAACTTTATCCAATAAGGTCTTAAACATTTTTAGTAACCTTTATTGCAAGGTATTTTAGATTTTTGTTACCATTTAAAAAACTAGAGGCAGAGAGTCTAGCTGAGTAGTTATGCAGAAATGCAGGAAAGAAAGAATAATCTAACAAAAAGAGGGTTCATATTGGAGAGAAAAGTGTACAGATCAGAGAACTATTTAGGTAGCACAGTAGACAGTGTAATAATTAAATTACATTTAAAGAGGAGTAGGTAAAGAAGACAACTAAAGGGATGGAGGCTATTCATTTAGATAGAGAACACAAGAAGACAAAAGGGGTGATAGTGATTTTCTACATACTCTATTTGAAATGCCTATGTAGGTGAAGAAATGGGTCTAAAGCTCAGGAAATTTGGGTTGGAGACAAAGCAGTTGAAGGCATAACATTAGAMTGTCCAGGGAGCAAGGTAAAGTGAAGACAGAGCCCAAAACTTTCAGACAAGTAAGTTAAAGGATGAATAGGTGCAAAGCAGGCCACAAAGATGACTTAGAAATAATTAAGAGGGAAGATTTGTAAAGTGTTATTCATATGCTTGTAATTTACATGTATGAAACAAATTCATTTTGGTACATAGGTAGTATGATTTTCCACTCTGAAATTCATGTTGGAAATTTTATTCCCAAAATAATGGGGTAGAGAGGGAGTGTGACATTTAAGAGGTGATGGGGCATTAAGAAGGATTAACATTTCTTTGGAAGGAGTTCTGGCTCTGGCAGGACTCAGTTACTACCAAAATGTAGGTATTTTTCATATTTTGCCTCTTCTGCTTGCCATTCTGCTTTTTTGCCATGCTGATGTTGCATGAGACCCTTACCAGATGTGGCTGCCCAATAATGGATTACCCAGCTTCTAAAACCATAAGACAAGATAAACTTTCCTCATAAATTATCCACTCTCAGGTATTCTTTAATAGTAATAGCAAATGAATTAACACAAAAGGAAAGAATCCATTTCTAAGACATTTAATTTGGAAAATACTAACGTAGTAAAAAAAAAAAGCCTTCATAGAAGAGATAATGGAGTTGAGAAGAATGTTTTAGTTTAATAGTCTCATAAATGTGTATAGTGCTTCAAGTGGAAGAACAATGCAGACAGAACAAGATTTGGTGAAGCATGGTCTCAGCATTCTCATTTGTAAAAATGGTCTTATATATACCCGTAAATCATAAAGCAGAGTTTCTGATACATGAAGACTGCTTGATACGTATTCTCTTAAATGGTGTTGTTTTCTGTTGTCATATAAAGTGTACTATTGTGACATGTATTTTAGATTGGATTATGTTATTTAAAGGTAAGAACCTGTGAGTTTGCCTTAACTACAGAATGCATGAAAATAAGTCAGTAATCATGTCCTTGAAATGTTATAAGACTTTCATAATGTGCCATGTTTCCCTTTCCAATTTTATCATATATGCTAAACATTTAACAAGTTTGAATTTTGTAGCCATTATCTTAGCCTTACAATTTCCAAATAATTTTTTTATTAGTTGTTCAAAACATTACAAAGCTCTTGACATATATTTCATACATTTGATTCAAGTGGGTTATGAACTCCCTTTTCCAAATAATTTTAATTGAATTAAAAACACTTTTCTAAAGAAAACATTACTTAACTGGAAAAACTGTTATAGTAAAATCATAATAAAAGTGGAGATAAAACTTTATAGTAATTTTACTTGGTAGTTACATAAACGTTCAGTACCTGAATAGCTGATTGTTGTCATCAAAGTTTTCTGATCCCCATCTACCTTTGATATCTTCAATTACATGATTCTTCAGAAATTTTCTCAACAGTTGAATAGTTTGTTGTCTTGTAACTTCAGGACCAAAATTACTATTATTTCTTAATAGGTCACAAAGCCAATCCACTGCTTCTCCTGCTGTGAAACAATTGCCATATTTTTTAAAGTGTTGCCTATGTTTTCTTAGAGGCATTCCTGCTCGAAAAGATGTAGTGACTTCATTCCACTGTGAAAATTAAAAAAGATTTTAATATCTTACTGATTTGAAATATTTAGGTAAAGAAATTTCTTTTAAGTCTCATCTGATTATACTGTAAAATTCTTTGAAAAAATCATGTGCTACATAAAACTTTATATCTTGCTGATTTTTTTTTTACTAATTCTAGTGCCCTAGTAATATTTTCATAGATTTTTACTAAAAATATTAATTGGCTGGTCAGTTTATTTAGGAAACTTAGGAAAAAGGAAGAAYTCTCTAAGTCCATGCTATGGAAAGCATTTGCTCCTTTTGTTCCCACTTCAACTAAGACTAATATACTGGTAGCATCTGTGTCAGGAAATGTAATTTATATTCATTATTTCACTTGAATTCTCACAATTGTTTGAATAGATACTGTTATTTCATTTTTCACATACGACACACAGAGATTAATAGTATGTCCAAGGTCATACAGCTAAGTGAATGACTCTAGAATCTGTACTCTCAATTATTGCATTGGCCAAATAAAACTTTTGCCATGCAGTAGTTATACTGGCCTTTACTACTAGGTATTTGCTATAGTATCTCTTATTTGAAGATTCTTATGATGAACATAGAACAGATGAGGTAAATTAAGTAAAATGTGAATTCACTGCATATCTAAGGACTTGGTGACATCTACATTAAAAAGAAAATACTGGTATTTTCTAAATTGTCCTCTCATTAGCCAAATTTTTATATTTGTGAAAGCTCTAACACTGGAGCATGAGTGTGTTGGTGGTATAGAATGAACACATCATTTTTTAATTGAAAAAAAATCCTGTATTAGAAGTCAAGAAATATAATCTGTAACCCTATGTAGGTGACTATTAGCTGTGTTGTCACTAATCTCATATATGTGGCCCAGGCATCACAATGGAGAAGGCCTGAAAACATGTTAACTGTTTTCTTTACACACCTCCCCATTTCATATATATATCTGTTCAAGAAACTTATAATATTGAGCAGCCCACTATGTACTGGCTTGGTATACAGCAGTAAAAATAACAGAAAGAGATATCTGTACTTAAGTAGATTACAAAATGGCTGTTCTAAAATTCCAACCTAGATGCCCTTCAATAGATGAATGGATTAAAAAATGTGGCATATATACACAATGGAATATTACTCAGCAATAAAAGAGAATAAATTCAAGGCATTTGCAAGTAAATAGAAGGAGTTAGAGAAGATAATGCTATGTRAAGTTAGCCAATCCCCAAAACCCAGATGCTGAAAGTTTTCTTTGATATAAGAAGGCTGATTCATAGTGGGGTAGGGAGGGGGAGCAAGGGAGAAATAGAGGAACTCTAGATAGGGCAGAGGGGTGGGAAGGGAAGGTAGGGAGTATGGGGTTAGAAATGATGGTAGAATATGATGGACACTATTATCCAAAGTACAAGTATAAAGACACAAATTGGTGTGAATATACTTTGTRTACAACCAGAGATATGAAAAATTGTGCTCTGTATGTGTAATATGAATTGTAATGCATTCTGCTATCATATATAAATTATAAATAAATAAAATACAGTATGGTRTAGTTGTTTATGGGTGATCTCTAGTCAGACTACTAAGGTACATTTTCCAACCATAGTTCTACTGTTTATTGCATATGAATTTTTTTGGGGGGTGAGGATACAAGGCATTGAACCCAGGGGCACTTGACCACTGAGCCACATCCACAACCCTATTTTGTATTTTGTTTAGAGACAGGGTCTCACTGAGTTTCTTAGGAACTTGCTGTTGCTGATGCTGGCTTTGAACTTGAGATCCTCCTGCCTCAGCCTCCCAAGCTGCTGAGATTACAGGCTTGGGCCATAGTGCTCGGCTATGTATGAATTTTGGGGTCTTACTTTTATTCTYTGTTCTTATCTTCTTATTCATAAGGTGGGGAAACTAGCACCTACCTAATGGGCTTGTACTAGTTAAGTGTTGAGTAAATGTTAAGTTTTCATTATTTCATTGTAGCGTCCTACACCACATATAATTCATTAAATTATAATTCATATAATTTACTAAATTTTAAATATGTGATAGTATTAACTGATTAAGGTTCTTTCCGGTCCCAGATTCTATTCTTTACATTGATTGATATAACTATTTATTGAGCAGCAGAATTCATGTCAAGCTCACCATATCTGGAAAATCTGCATTCTTCTAATTCTTCCATTTACTGTTTATGTGACTTTTGGGATAGTATTTAATTTCTGTAAACCTCATTTTCCACATTGTTAAGTATGCCTAAGAATACAGGCCCATACCTGAGGGGCATTCCTGAGAGAATAATTTGCTTGGTATTGTACACATCACAACACACTTTCATAAACAGGCCCTCTCAAGAAATCCCTTAAGGTGGGCATGTGTTTCATGCCTATTTTACCAACGTGAAAATGAGGCTCAGATGTAAAGTGAACCTCCTAATGCCACAGAACCAGGCAGCATTCACTGTGTCCACACAGATCCAGTGACCATCCACAGTGGTTGCTGATGGATACTTAAAACTACTCCGGCTTAAGTAGGAGGCTCTCTCTCTCCTAGTGCTGTTAGGCCAATACTTCCTGCCTCAAATTCCACAGGCCCAAGGAAGGACTCACTTTGGGGCTTGCGCCCAATCTGACCCTACCAAGCTCTGGAGCTCACTCTCCGCTTTTAATTCTGGGGTTTCGTAAATCGCGGTGGGAAGCGGCTAAAATCGGTGTATTCCATCACGTTCCCAGTGTCCAGACACCGCCAGGCGCGGCGACGTCCAACCAAGTGGCCTTCCCCCGGCGCTTCGCCAAGGCCCTCAGGCCCCAGGCAGCCGGGGGCAGAGGTCCAGACCCGCAAAAGAGGGGAAAGTCGAGCCTCGCCATTTTCCCTCACCCTCCTTCCACCCAACAGAGATGCCCTAGGCCGCCTCCCTCTGCCCAGGTAAAACCACCAACGGTCTGTAGCGAAGCGGTGGCTGCCGCCGGCCGGCGGACCAGTCTCGCCATTCCGCGCCGTCTTACCAGCTTGGTGGCCCGATAAGGCCCGGGAGGCACACCCCGACCCTCCATAGGTCAACGCTGCCCGACGTCCATGGAAGCGGAAAGCGACGCTTGGGACTGTGCTGTCCAGGCAGCGGCCGTCCGGATACAACTGTCGGCCCCGCGGTTGATTTGAATACCTGGGAGGGCTGCGCTGATTGGCCGCGCCTCCGAGTCACGTGATTCCGCGCTTTCCGAGCCGCAGTGGGCGTGGGGAGACCCATTGCAGCTACMGCGCACAGGTAGTGGGAGCTGTGGGCTGGGCTGGTGCTGTTGAGCCTGTTTAGGGGAACTGCTGAGGTACCCGCTCGGGGCCTCCACCCGCTTTCCAGGCGCAGCTTCTCCCTCTTGCGGTGGATAGCGAGGTGCAATTATGTTTCCATGCTCTTAAGGGGCGAGGCAGTACCAGAGAGAATTGTTTGGGCCAGCCTCTGGCTTAAGGGAATTTGAATTTTGAAAAAGAAAGAAAACAAAACAAACAAAAACCAAAACAAACAWCAGTAACAACAACAAAACCTCAACTCTTTTTGTCTGGGTGTATAGGATCTTCAGCAGTGTCAGCACCAAAGCCCGGCGTCACCGGGTGTAGCTTTCTCCTGACATTGCCTCTGAGAGGTTTTATGGATGTGTGTTGCAGTGTTCTCGCCCTTGCTCGTCCTAGCAGAGGCCACGATTGGGCATTCAGCTGTCTCTTCCTCTTAAAAGGTTAGTGAAATGGAGCACGAGCAGGTTTCCACCAAGTACATACATGTGAGTGTGAGGAAACGTGTAAACTATACCAAATTGCTTTCCTTAGGAAAATCTACTCCATACCTTAATAAGAATCCTGTTTATGTTTAAAGACACTTCAAACATCTCTGGAACTTGAAAAAAAAGTCAATCTACCAAAAAAAAAAAAATCATTTGTCAAATTAAAAAAAAAAAAAAAAACGAAGGGAAGTTCCTAATGTTATGTTATATAATATACTTGCCCCAAGACGGAGGTCCACTTGGCATAACTCAGACTTAATGCATTTAATAAATGATTTGTCACTAGTCTGAAATTACATGATGCGAGGAATCCCTCAGTACACCTGGAAAAGATGTTGCTTGATGATTTGAAGTCGTAGAAGGATGATTTAGAAATTAAGTAGCAATTTGAGAGGACAGAATTTAGTAAAAAGAACAGGTAAGGGAATATGTTGTGGTGGTGGTGGTGGTGGTGGGATATGTAACATGGCAGGATAGGTGTAAGGTACATTCATAGGGATGGAGGAGTCTCTCCGTTATAGCTGAGCTGCTATAATGGCCATGGATTGCCTAGCTATGGACTTATATAGGAAAAAATATAAGCCTTTGTTAATTTGTTCTTATAATTGAACTTAATACTAATTAATACAATAGATTTCACAAAAGAAAATGAAGTGAATGTATCAACTCCTACATATGATGAGGCAAAACATTTTTCCACCTAGACAAAAATTGTTCTAGTGGGCTTTCTCTATCATCCCCATGGAATTTCATTAATTCTCACTAGAGTATACATCCCATGGCACACTGTACCCAGTTTGTTCACTGCTGTAACTCCAGCCCCTAAACAGTGTATAGTAGGAATTTAATAAATATTTGGTAAATGGATGATTTTTTTCTTATCACTAAAAGGAAAGTTTATGGGTAATACAATTAAATGATCTTTCCTTCCTAGGAAACATTTTGTAATATCTTCCTGCATGTTTGTAAGGTTTATTTATCTTTGAGATTTAACCATTCTACCATGCTATGCCTGGTTTTGAGTCTTATTTTATGAATTTTGTTTATTATTGGTCTGTTCTGAGAAAATTTCCTCATTTTTCTTCTGAGTTGCTCCAATATGTTTTCCCCCTTGTTTCTGAAACTATTATTGGTTATTTGATCTCTTATATCTATCTTATTTTTTTTGATGGCTTTCCTTCTATAATTTTCATTTTATTATTTTTTCCCTCAGTTCTGAGAGAAGTCTTCCAGCTGAACTTCTAATTCACTGATTGTTTCCTTTTGCACACAGCCTCTTATTCATCCCCCCCAAAAGCTTTTTTATTCTGTGATTATTATTTATTTCTGTGTAACCTACTCTTGATTTTGACTTGAGAATCTGATTTTGACTTGTGAATTAGAGTTTAATGACTTTTTTCTTATGTTTTATAGTAACTCTGTAAAATGTTCAGACATAACCCTCTACTTTGAACTATTGTTTCTTTCATTGTATGCATTGTTTTTTAAAAGTTATATATTCTTATAAGATTTTTTAAAAAAATTAGTATTAGTAATGAAATTAAGTCCAGTAAAGATCAGGTAAATTCATGTAAATATTTCCAAAATAACTATTTTTAACTTTTCAGCTGTTCATTCCCCAGATCTTGCATCTTCAAGTATTAAGGCTGTACTGCTGTAGTGGTTAGGGTTAGATGTTTAGTTGACATGTATTCTTTTGTCTGGTAATCAGTTTTCATTTCCTTTGGGAAAAGTATACTTCCTCATTGAGGGAAATATGTCTCCCACTCTATATTCTGAATGGACTTTTCCATCTTCCTTACTATTGGGGGTTACCTAGGAATGAGCACTTCATTCAACTGAGTCATGGTATTTTGCTCCCCTGATTCAATATCATAATGTGACCCAAGCCACGTCAACGAGACCCCTCTGAGGTTATTTTCAAACTGGGTCAGAAGGAAACAACCTCTTCTTTCTGGTAACTAAGCTGAGAAGATACGAGCCAGGAGCCAATGTGATTTTAGTTATAACCGAAAGAAACTCTAGTCAGGTAAAATGTGCTGATATCCAAAGAGAAACAGAGATGAGAGATGGAGGGTGCCATTTTTAAACTTTCTGAGGATTGCTTGAATTCCTAAAATTGGATTATGTGAGCCAATAACTTTTTTTTTAATCAAGTCAGTTTGTGTAGATTTTTTGACATTTACCATACAGAGAGATCTCCAGTAAAAGAAGAGTTTTCAAGAATTCAAATGAAAATAATATTTCTTGGGGGGGATTACATTTAACCCCGTGGTAAAATTTTTATATCATTCCAATATATTGTAGAGATCTATAACAGAGAATAACAGAGAAGCCTATAACTAGACTGGAGAGACTTTTCAGGATTACTGTCAATAAAGTACTGCCCTTCCTGAGAAACYTGTCAAACTGGGTCAGGAGGAAACAGCTACTCTCTTTGGGGGACTTAGGACTCTTCTTGGGAGTTTTAAAAATCTCTCTGAAATTAAATAATCTATGTCCCATTACATACTAGACATTTGTACTTTAACTTCTACTAGGACATCTCATAATTAACAAATCCAAAGCAGAAATCTTGATTCCTATCTGAGGTCTCTGATATCCCACCTAGTACAAAGTTCTTCACTTCTTCAAAGATTCAGGTAAAACTCATATTCTCAAATATGGTGTCAGAGCCTCCTGAGAGAAACTAGGAGGAGGAGTCAGGTTTCCATATTTCATATTTTTTCTGTGTTGTATTTGTATGTTATAGAATAATTAATAGGAAAAATAAATATTTGGGATGGTAATGATTACAAGGAATTCAATAGTGTGATTTTTTTTTTCTATCCAAGATTTTGTAATATAACCCAAGTGATTCTGTTCCCTGGTTTCATGCTTTTGTGTCATCCCATCATAGAACAAGAAGGGTTAATCTATGTAGCCAACAGAATATTACAGAAATTAGTGTGAATCTTGACATTGGATCGTAAGAGAAATACCTGCTCATGCCTTGCTATATCTTGCTCTGGGGAAAGACAGCTGTCATATCATGAAGCAATTTATGCAGGCAGCCTTTTGGAGTCTTCCCTGTGGTGAGCATCTGAAACCCTTTATCAACAGACAGCATTGACTGAGTTAGGTACCTCAGAAATGGTTATTTCAGCCCTAGTCAAGATTTTAAATGATGAGCTCTGGACAATATTTTGACTTCAGTCTTGTAAAAATCCTTGAGCCAAAACTACTAGTTAAGCCATATTTGGATGACCCATCTGCAGAACTATCTAAGCTAATAAATTTAAGTGTTTTAAGCTGTTAAATTTTAGAATTACTATATATCAATGCATAACTCATGTAAAGTGTCTCATGTTCTTAAGAAATCAACTAAATTAATAGTAGTAGATTTTGATGGAGAAAATTAGGGAAAGAGCAGAAAGGAATGAGGATTTCTGCTTTGAATTTGTTAATTATAAGATTCCTAGTAGAACTTTAAGTGCAAGTGTCACATATAGTTGGACATAAGATTCTTGAAATTTGGAGAAGCTTCTGTATATAACTTGTATTTTAAATTATAGGATAGATAAGAGGGTTGAGTTCATTGCTGCATCGCTCTTGAGGTTACAAAAGATGTCATTGAGATAGGAGGAAAGAGAAGAAAGTGTTTTCAGAAAAAGCTATCCACCTTCTCCAAGGATCTGAGAGGCTGAGCAGGAGGGTATAGCAGAGAAGTGTCAGTGGGAGCTTGCAACACAGAGCTCAACAGCACCTTGATGACAGCAGTCTTATTGTAGTGGGAAAAACAGTAAAGCTCAACGAGAGTGACTTGACAAGATAATAGGAGTCAGGAAATGAAGGTAAATACCATTATCATGTTCAAGAAGTTTTGCACTGAAGGGGAACTGAAAAATAGGAAAGTAGCCAAAAGAGGGTATGAGGGCACAAGGGTTGATTTTTGTTTGTTTGATTTGTATTTTTAAAAAGTAAGATTCAGAATATCAGACTATATAAACTGATGGAAGTAATTAAGTGCAAGAGAATAATTAATTCTGATGGAGAAAGGAAATGATTGTGGGAGCAAAATCCAGGAGAAACTGAGAAGTGGATAGAAGTGCAGAGGCTGGCCTTTGATGGGAACAGGAAGTACTTCTTCCTTCCTACTGAGAAAGCATTTATAGGCCTTTCCTGTAGTGATACAGGGAGTGTGGGAGTGGAAAATGTCTCAGAAAAACTGTCTTGCCACCTCAATTCCTACTCTATGTTACATAATTTATTGAAGAATTTACTGCCTGATACAYACTTTTGATTGATTGTTCATTCAACAAGCATACATTAAACTTGAACAAT